AAATCCTTTCCAGCTGCAACCTCTTGCAAAGGGAACTGGCCGGCCACCTGTGAATTTAATTGCTGGAGATTTGGCGGAGAGCGCTCGGGGCGAGGTGGGCGGTTAGAATGAACAGGAGCGCACAGGGGGAACGCCGCAACCTCCCGGGGCGGGGCAGAGGGGAGGCGGGACAGAAGGAAGGTGGGACCTGCAGACGCGTGCGTGTACTGACTGGGGAAGCAGGCAGGGGTGGGGGCAGGGTGACTTGAGTTTCCGGCTCCCGCAGTGGCTGCGGAGGTAGTGGCGGCGGTGGTGGGCAGGTGGAAGAGGGAAGGCAGGGTCATTAGGTAATGGCGGAGAAGGTGTGGCTGGAGGAGGGTCCAGCAGGGAGGGTGGAGGAAAGGGTGTGGACGGACAGGGGCACGAGGCCAGTGGGAGAACGGGCAGCTTTTGCCGGGGGAGTTCGAGATGGTCTCCAGTGGAGGGGGGGTGGGAGGACGCGGGGACAATGGCAGTGCCTTTGCTGCTCCCCACACATAGCACATGAACCCACCCCCACACACATACCACACACACCGCGGTCTCGGCGGTACACAGCACAGCGCGGCCACAGCCCGGCGCAAGGAGAGGAGGCAGAAGGAACTTCGGGGGAAGGGACGGGGACACAGACGGGGTGGAGAAAGAGAGAGAGAGAGACTTGGGCACATTTCCCAGTTCGCTGGCAGAAATGACTGAGATCGGTACGGACAGTAAAGTCGAGGTCCCATTTTCATACTGAGGCCATGCTACGTTATAGAAATAGGACGCAGGTCTGACTCAGGCCTAGTGTTTAGCCAGGTTGGCAGGCAGGCACCCTAGAGGTGTGCTCGGATCAATTTTGGAATTTGGATTCCCCGTGCTCGATGCCTGTGGCCTGTAGTGGAGCCAAAGGCCAGCGTCTTAGCAATTTGACCCATGCTATGGACGGGCGGAGGGACCGGGGGAGGTAGGGACGTCTCCACTACCTCCAGAGGTCCGGAGGAACCTTACTGAAAGGGTCCGGAAAGGCAATCGGCCGCATTTTATGGACAGAGACGCTGGCGGGCGGGCGGCCACAAGGAACGGGCACGGGGGCGGGGCAGGACTCACCGCTGATGTTGCCAAACTGGGAAAGGTTGCTGAGCTGAAGAAATGAGGTCCTGATGGGTCCTGGGCCACGAGGAGGGAGAGGCAGGCATCCTGAGCCGTGGAGGGGTGGCCAAATGAGGTGCTCATGCCACCTGGGTTTCAAGGCACCAAATGTTAGGTGGCTCAGGAAGGTGATGTAGGAAATAGAGAACCGAGTCAATCAGAAAAGAAAGAAAAGGTTTTATTCTGCGTTCCCGGGCGACCCACGGACCCCAAAGACAAGGTCAGTGGATTCGCACCCTTAGTGAGGGGGGGGCTGTTTTATACTGCGATTGAGTGAGGGGAGGGGACGTGAACTGAGGAAGTTTCTGCCACAGGGGGTTAGCAGGATACTCAGGAAGGAGTCAGTATCTGTGTGGGGGTCGTTGTGGATTCAGGGAGAAGCCGGTGTCTGTGTCTGGCACGCTGATAGGTCAGAAATTCCAGGGAGGGTCCATTATCTGATCAAATGTCTGCATGTATCCGGTCCTGGGCTCTCTCTGACCTAACAGGGATCCCCAAGGACATCGAGGCCTAGGACTGCCAACTCGAGGTCTCCGCAGCCAGCAGCTGGCATGGCCTGGGGTAAGCAGGAGCAGCCGATGCAGGCGGCAGGCACTGTCATGCAGAAAGGCGGGCCCAGATTCCACCAGATTTGACTGTTTGGATGAAGGTGGAAGTGGATTCTAGCTTCCCCATCTCATAAAACGTGGGCAACATTCAGTCTCACAAAGAACACAGTGGAGGCCAGACCCAGGCAGGTGCAGCTCTCCGCCAGCTCCTCCCGTGTGGGGGAGATGAGTCAAGGTCTCAGCAGGAAGGAGGAGGAGGAGGAGGTCAGCCTCAACCGAGGTGGCTGAGGGCACTGAGGTAGCGTGTGGCCTCTAGGGCAGCCGGCTGGTGCCTGAGCCTTTGTTTCTGCCTAGACCTCCTGGAGTCTGAGAGCGGCCCACAGCTGATCTCCAGGGGCCTCTGTGTCTCGGCCAGGTGAGTGGAGGGGGGCCGGGCCAGCAGGTGGCAGAGTGAGGGCTGTTGGCAGGTGACAGCCTTTTTGAGGCTGTCATGGCAGGAAGGGGGGTGGAGAGTTCCAGAGCTGGGCTGCACACGAGCTCCGTGGCCCCTTCCTCCAGCAGTGTCCCCGTGTGGTGGTGGCAGCGGCTGGCCCGGAAGCTCCCGAGCCAGGTCACGGTGCTGGCCTTCCAGGGGGACGCACTGCTGGAGCAGATGAGCGTCATCGGCGGGAACCTTACGGGCATCTTCATCCACCGCGTCACCCCTGGCTCGGCGGCCGAGGAGATGGCCTTGCGTTCAGGCACCCAGATCGTCACGGTGAGGTTCAGGGCTCTGCTGCTGCTGTTTGAACAGTGGCCTCATTGTCAGCTCCCGTGCGTGTGCGTGCACGTCTGTGTGTTTAAATTCACAGAACGCGTGTACATGCACATCTGTTGTTCAAATACACAGAACGCGAGGTTCACCACTTTAATTCTTAAAACTTTTTGTTGTGAAATATTAATGATGCTGCAGAAAACATAAATGTTCAACTTGACTAATTACCATTAAGTGAGTATAGTAGCAGGGAGGGGACTTTGATGTTACTGAAACTAGAACTTTAAGCTTTTAAACAATTTTTAACAATTGTAAGAAATTCACAAAATAGGTGTCACCGTCCCCGAGGCTTGCCCATCCCCCGGAGGAAACCCCGTCTTCAGGACACGGGAGCCCTTTCTCCGTGTCTCGTTGTCAGTTACATTGTGGTTACAGCTGCAGAGCCCTTTATGGTGTTTGGGGACAGTCCTGATCCCCAAAACGTGCTCATTGTCCTTACAAAGTGTCCTCTTGGCGTGAGGCAGCGAGGGAGTGAATGGAGGGACAGTGAGAGCCAGGAGCTTTCACAAGCGGGGCCGGGGAGGGGGATAGCAATGCCAGGGATGCCGCTAACATCCTACAGGGCCCGGGCGGCCCCACAGCAGAGTGACCCAGCTCCAAATGTCAGTAGTCCCAATGCCAAGAACCTGTGATCTAGAAAGCTCTAGAACAGTGATGGCGAACCTATGACAAGCGTGTCAGAGGTGACACGAGAACTCATTTTTTTGGTTTGATTTTTGTTAAATGGCATTTAAATATATAAAATAAATATCAAAAATGTAAGTCTTTGTTTTACTATGGTTGCAAATATCAAAAAATTTCTGTATGTGACACGGCACCAGAGTTAAGTTAGGGTTTTTCAAAATGCTGACACGCCGAGCTCAAAAGGTTCGCCAACACTGCTCTAGAACAAAGGTCTATTTTGGAGAGCAGACACTGGGTCCTGGGTGGTGCTCTCGGCATGCGGTTGGGAAGGGGGTGGTGGCTGACTCAGGGTGGGAATATGTGTGGCTTGGAGGAGCTAAATGCAGATGCCCTGGTTCAGGGCCTGGGACAGAGGCCCTGATAGGCGTGTGGACAGCTGGGGGTGCATGTGGATGGCTGGAGCGGTGAGTGCAGATCTGTGCTCAGACTCCACCGAACCTGGTCGATAGCGCCCGCCCTGGTGGTTTGCCCCCAGGTGGACTGTGAGGCCACAGAGCCCTTTTTCAAGGCCGTCCTGCAGGGCATGACCCTGGAGCAGGCCGTGAGTCTTCTCCGCAGGGTGGACGGTTTCTGCTGCCTGTCTGTGAAGGTCAACACGGAGGGTACACACTCCCTCCCTCCCCCCGCCCAACCCCCAGAAGCTCCCCTCTCAGGACCTGCCCAGCTGCCCAGTCCCAACTCTAAGCCGTGGCTGTGCCTGCCCCAGCCACCATGGCCTACCCCAGAGCCAGGCCACACCCCCGGTCTGCAGAGGCCCCCAAGGCAGCCGGGACCTCCCACCCACTGACTCTGGCACCAGGATGGCTTCCGAGACTTTGGGGCGGTACCTTCTGTCCCTCCTCCTTTCACATTCCAGAACCTTCCCCCTGTGGGTCACGGCCTGGGCTGACCTGTCCTCTCTCACCAGGTTATAAGAAGCTGGTCCAGGACCTGGAGGCCAAAGTGACCACCTCAGGGGACTCCTTCTACATCCGGGTCAACCTGGCCCTGGAGGGAAGGGCGGAGAGGGAGCTGCCGGTGCACTGCGGCAACATCCTGCATGTCACGTACACCATGTTCCAGGTGGGCCCTTACAGCACTAGGGACGCAGAGGGCGGCACCATCCCCACCTATGCATGGTGAGCGGCTGTCGGATGGCCACCTCTTGGGGAGGGGACACTGCCCAAGTGGAATCCCCATGTGCCACCCCAGGTGGACAGCGTTTGTTTGTGAAAAGGGTGGACCTTGGTTCTAGGGCTTTCGGGGCCAGCGTTTCCAGCCTCAGCGCTGCGACCTGGGGGTGGTCCCGCTGCTGGGGGCTGCCTAGCACCGCCTGCCTGAGCAGCTCCCTGGCCTCATGCTGGCCCCAACCTGTGAAAACCAAAAGTGTCTCCAGACATTGCTAGTGTCCCCAGGAGGTAGGCTCACCAGTCACCTGGTGTGTTCAGGACTGTGTTAATTTTAGCACAGAAAGTCCCACCTCCCAGGACAGATGTGGCAGGGCTGGCCCCCTCCCCCCAGCAGCATCCGCCTGCCGGGAGCCGTGTACCAGCTCCCGGTACACGTGGTATCGGGTGGTACCGCTCAGCTCAGCAGTGCAGGGAGGCCAGGAGCCATGTCCCACCCAGGCTCACACCCGGGACATCAGCGGGCACCTTTGGTGGGCTGCGGGCATGCAGGGTTTCAGAGGCGCCGCTGGGCAGGGGGTGTGGAGCCTCCTGGCAGCTGTGTCTCCTCCTCCCAGGGCACAGCAGCTGCTCATCACCCTCCTGCAGGACCTGGCTCAGCAGAGCAGCTCCACCCGCAAGGTGAGGCCGCTGCCGGGCCCTGTGGGGGGGCCCTGCCTCCTTCCTCCCTGGGCTGGCAGAGGGGTGGGGGCTGGCTAGGGGTCCTGTTGGGAGGGTGTGGGCTACTGATCTGAGGGGGTCTCCCTGCGAGTCCCTGCCCCGTGGGCCCTGCACACCTTCCCCTGGGCCCCACGGGGCACCCGGCCTGCAGGTTCCTCCAGCACCAGCAGAGGTGCTGGATGTGCTTTCTTGGTTGTGCCCTGCACCCCACTGCTTGGCCATCTGCACCCATTACTCCCTCTGAGGGCGGGGACATGGTGTCCTCCCCACATAGGACACTCAGTGCCCCGAGCAAGGAGCTAGGGCGCCCCCCCCCCCCACCTCCATCATAAGGCAACTGGCAGAAAGTATCCTGTCAGAAGCTACCGCCCACCGCCGGCTCTCCACCACCCGGCCCTGACCACCCACCGCCGGCTCTCCACCTCCCGGCCCTGACCGGGCTTTGAGACAAGTATCTTAGAAACTGACTCAATTCTCCTAAGAAGCTGATATGGTGATGCTATGAACTTCCCGGCTTTCAATGAATAAACACAGTCAGTTGGGCTGGAACAGGTGGGCTGGCCCCCAAGAGTGTCTGCCTGGAGCCGGCCAGTGGGACCTGACTTGGAGGAAGGGTCTTTGCAGGTGTAATTGGTGTGAGCCACGAGCGGGGGGCCTGTCCAAGGACAAGTGTCAGGAGAGAGAGGGAGAGAGAGACGCAGAGAGGGCATGTAGACCAGGCAGAGGCTGGAGCAACGGGGCCGCCAGAAGCTGGAAGAGGCAGGAAGGGTCCTCCCCTGGAGCCACCGGAGGGAGGGGGCCCCGCCCACACCTTAACTTCAGATCTTCAGCCACCAAACTGAGAGAACCCAGTTCTGCGTTCCCTGGCCACCGATTTTGTGGTAGTTTATTAGGGCGGCCCCAGAGAAACTAACACAGGCCCACCCCCCGCAGGTTCACCAACTCTCATGGCCGAGTTGGTGAACCGGGGCTGTGCAGCACCTCCTTGGCCAGGTGGCCCAGCACCTTAGCCTGGCGCAGGTAGGGGGTGAGGCGGCTGGGGCAGATGCTGCGCACGATCCTGTGGCGGTGGCTCTCCGTCATCTCCCACAGCGTCTCCTCGTCCAGGGCTGCCAGCGAGGGGTGCGTGAGGTGCAGCTCCGCCATGGCCGGACCTGGACGACAGAAAGGGCGGTGACAGAGGGCGCCAGCGAGGAGTGCGTGCGGTGCAGCTCCGCCATGGCCGGACCTGGACGACGGAAAGGGCGGTGGCGGAGGGTTGTCAGTGCAGGGCTCCCGGCCCCGAGGCCTTCCGCTTCCACCCATCCTCCCCACGGACAGGCAGGGAAGGAGAGGACCCCCGGCGAGGATGATGACACCAGCTGGGCCCTGGTGTCCTGTGACCGGCGGGAGGGACACCCACGGCACCAGGGGCGGAGCAAAGACCTGGCTTCTCTGGCTCTTGGGACGCGGATCTGCCTGACACACAGGCTGCTGCCTAGCCTGACCCGCACCGGGCGGAGCAAAGACCTGGCTTCTCTGGCTCTTGGGACACGGATCTGCCTCTGCTGCCTGGCCCGACCAGCACTGGCCTAGGAGGTGGGTCTAGACCACTATCCTCCGCAGGAGGGAGCGAACCCCTGGACTCTCCTGTGGCCGCAGCACAGATGTGCGCAGGGAGACAGCAGTGTGCCTGTGGCCGTAATGTCTCCGGGCAGCACCGCCCTGAGGGAACGTGAGGCTGGACGAGCTGGCACCCAGAGGCGGTGCCTGGGGCCCACATCCATCAGTGGGAAGCAGGCCGGGGCTGCGCCTCGCACAGAAAGCCACTCCCACATCCATCAGTGGGAAGCAGGCCGGGGGCTGGGCTTCGCACAGAAAGCCACTGCTTGTCCTCAGCAGGGTGGACCCTGTCGCTTTCAGCAGCCCAGGACCCTGGCACTGAGACACCTGGGTGCAGCGCTGTAAACGTGCATTAGAGACGCCATAAAACTAGGACGGCTCTTGCGGGTGAGCAGTCAAGGCCACGCTCCTCGGCTGGTGGTGTGTGTCGGGGGTGAGATGGCCAGGCCTCTGAGGGCTGAGCTGCAGGGCCTGGGCAGATCCTGGCTGGGTCCCAGCTCCAGTCTGTGTGGATCTAGTGCCTGAAGCAGTCACAACCCCGTCAGTTCCCCCCGCCCTTGTGCTGGGAGGACCTCAGGGGGCTCCTCCCACTCCCACCGGGAGCACCCCCGCTCTGCTCTGGAACCACCGTGGCCACACTGCGTTCCCCGGGCACAAGGCCTTTAGCCTATTAATCCTTGTAACTCATTCTAAAATGCTGTGAGCTGTGGACTGTCTCAAGCATAGAAAACAGCCTGCAAACGACAGTGCCCGCACCTCCTTCCTGGACTTCAGAATCCTGCGCTCAGTCCCTCTGCCCCATCTCCCCCTCCTGCCCGGACACACACAGCACTTGGCGTGACTATGGAACAGCCACCTCCCACCCAGCGTCTCCACTGTGAACTCTCACTGTAGACAACAGCATCCGCTGGACAGGGCACCGCCCTCAGCAGGGGTTGGGGCAGTGATGGCGAACCTATGACGCGTGTCAGAGGTGACACGAGAACTCATTTTTTTGGTTGATTTTTCTTTGTTAAATGGCATTTAAATATATAAAATAAATATCAAAAATATAAGTCTGGCTACATACACCTTGACTGCAGGCTGATTCAGTGATAGGAAGAAAGCACGGAGATGTACTGATGGTCCTATGGCTGCGCATTATGTTGTTTCTTTTTCTCATCACACTTGTGCATGAAGTCCTCGTGCACAGGTGGGCATAGGTAGGGCACAGGTGGGCACAGGGAGGACAGAAGTGGGCACAGGTGAGAGTGTTTGCCCTGGACCTGAGAACCCTGTGATCTGGTTCTTTTCACGGGATGACAAGCTGTCTGGCTGGAGCCAAATGCCTCCTGAGAGGTGTGTGCAGTGAAAAAGCTCCAACAGCAGAGCACGTCAGCGTGTAAACCAAGGAAAATGGAATGGCCGCTGCAGAGCCCTCCTCCGCGGACAGCCCCCCACAGGCCCCCACGGGGCCCGGCCCTCGAGTAGGTCTGTCTCGCTGCCCCTGGGCAGCGCATTCCATTTCTGCAGGGGACAGTCCATGGATGCTCATGAACCAGGATGTTGTGGGTTCGGTGGTGTCCCCCCAAAAGATATGTTGAAGTCCTAACCCCTCAACACCTGTGAGTGTGGCCTTTTGGAAATAGGTCGCAACAGCTGAGGTCATTGGGTCGAGCCTTAAGCCCTATATGACAGGTGTCCTCATGGGACAAGGAGAGACCCAGACACACCCAGGGAGGGGCCAGGTGACAGCCCAGGCCGAGGGCTGCGGGCAGCACCAGGAGCTCAGAGCAGGCAGGCTCTCGGAGGGAGCCGGCCCTGCAGACCCCTGACTTTGGCTCCTGGCCTCTGAGGAGAGGGCTGGGGTGGCTGAAGTACTCGTGGTTTCTTTTTAGGATGAAATGTCCTAAGGCTGATGTGCTGGCCCCATGTGGCTGGATTGTTAGACGCCACTGCGCTGCGCTCCTGACACGGTGAGCTGTGCAGCATATAGATCGGACCCCAATCAAGCTGTTTTTTAAAAACAGGCCCCAGAGCTGCCAGCGACCATTCCCCTGCCGTGGCCCCCTGGACAGGATGCAGGCTAGGGAGATGGGGAGACACTCCTGGGGCCTGGCCTGGCCCTGCCTCCCTTAGGCCAGCCGCCCTGACCTGTGGGTACCAGCCTCCCCTGTCTTTCTTCTTCCTCTCGGCCCAGGCAGGGCCTGCAGGCACCCTGACTGTCCTAACCCCCCAACACCTGTGAGTGTGACCTTTTAGGAAATAGGTCGCAGCAGACGTAACCAGGTTAAGATGAGGTCATGAAGTCGAGCCTGAAGCCCTCTATGACGGGTGTTCTCATGGGAAGAGGAGAGACCCAGACACACACAGGAGGGCCACCAGGCTCAGTCCTCGGGTGGGGGAGGGGGGGTGCGCTGGGAGCCACTGTGCTCTGCCCAGGAAGTTGAGTGCCCCCTGCTGCTGCCCCTTCCCTCTGCTACTTCCTGCATCCCTGCTCCCTGGGACTCCGGGGTGCCTCTCGCACAGCACAGGCATCAGAGCTGCCCTCATGCCTTCTAGAGCAGTGGTCGCCAGCCGGTGTCTGCGGACCACTGGCCCATGAGGTCCGCAAGGTTGGCGACTGCTGTTCCAGATGGTGCACATGTGAGTGCAGCCGCCTCCCACTCTATGACGGGTGTTCTCATGGGAAGAGGAGAGACCCAGACACACACAGGAGGGCCACCAGGCTCAGTCCTCGGGCGGGGGAGGGGGGGTGCGCTGGGAGCCACTGTGCTCTGCCCAGGAAGCTGAGTGCCCCCTGCCGCTGCCCCTTCCCTCTGCTACTTCCTGCATCCCTGCTCCCTGGGACTCCGGGATGCCTCTCGCACAGCACAGGCATCAGAGCTGACCTCATGACTTCTAGAGCAGCGGTTGCCAGCCGTTGTCTGCAGACCACTGGCCCATGAGGTCCGCAAGGCTGGCGACCGCTGTTCCAGATGACAGCCAGATGGTGCACATGTGAGTGCAGCCGCCTCCCACCATGTCTGACTCAAAGATCTTGGATCACCAACATGTGAAACCAGCTGAGTGGGGAAGGGCAGAATGAGCAGACACGGTCTCTCCCTGTGCCTCACAAAATGAGCCGAAAATGGTTTGTTTTTAAAGCAGCCACACATGAGGCAGCTGGTCCTCCTCGCCTTACACCTAAACCTAGAAACCTCCCTTCTTCCTTTCTCTTTCCTCCTGGGGCACCAAAGCAGACATCAGAGTCCAAAACAGCATCCTTCATCCCTCCCGACCCACACTGTCTTCCTTGAAGGTGGAGCTGAGCCAGAGAGCACCCATGCACTTAACCAAACACCAGGCTCCACCCCCCTCGGGAGGGAGACCCTCCTCTCCCGCCCAGGACAGCTCTCAGACCCCCTTCGGGCCTGCCCGCCCTCCCCAGTGCTGACCTGCTCTCCGTGGGACCGGCTCCATGCTGTGCTTCCTCGTCCTGCAGAAGGGACGCTGGGGCGGTCTGAGCTGAACAGCAGCAGGCGAGCAGGTCTGACAGGCAAGCCTGCCTGGCCGACGCCTCACATGAGCCTGCACGCATCACTGAGCCTCAGGACAGTCTCACAGCAGGGCTGTGTGCGGAGTTGCAAGAGCCATGGGACGCTTCTGGAAACTGCCTGTGCATCTGGCCTCAGCGTGGGGGAGATGCTCTCCCGCTTGTGAACAGCCGGCCTGGTTCATGATAAATCCCTCGGATGACGTCCTGGCTCCATCAGGACTCATTCTGCAGCCTCTTCCGTCCTCACCATTAGTCCGGAAGTCTCTAAGCCAAGCATGTCACACTCACAGGCCAACACGGGCCAAATAAACAAGGTGCAAGTGCATGTGGCCACAAAAAAACAAAAGCTTCAATTTCCTTTGAAAAGTAGGTTTATTCCGATAGAGACATGCTGAAAACAAAGGGCTGAAATGAATGAGTCATCGTTAACATAAAATAATAGAACATTTTAATAAAAATTAATATTTCTTCTTAAACATTTACTTACCAGACACTGGATAACTGCACAAATTAATAAGCGTCACGCAAATAAACCTATTTTTCTTGTTTTCCGAGAGCGAGATATTTCCTGTTGCGCACACCAAAAAAGTCAGTCCAGGACTAATGACGTGGCCATTGGCTACTAAAATATTCACTGCTGATATTAGTGGAGGGAAATGGTGTGCCTGTGCATAAAGGAAATGAATGCATCACGATTATAGTAATCAGTCATTAGCGAATGTTGTAGTTTGTTATTAATCATTATGTATAACAGGGTATTGTAAAAATTAAGATATGAAATTTTTAAAACGTTTCTTTTATGTAATGATGTTTACTTTGAATTTATATTAGTTCACACAAACACTCCATCCATGCTTTTGTTCCGGCCCTCCCGTCCAGTTTAAGAACCCATTGTGGCCCTCGAGTCAAAAAGTTTGCCCACCCCTGCTCTAGAATCACCATTAGATGGTCACTACTTAGATTTGGATGACGGTTTTTTGTGTGTTTTTTTTTATTAATTTCAGAGAAAGATAGAAACATCAATGATGAGAATCATTTACTGGCTGCCTCCTGCACGCCCCACACTGGGAATCGAGCCCACAACCCGGGCATGTGCCCTGACCGGGAATTGAACCGTGACTTCCTGTTTTTAGGTCGACGCTCAACCTCTGAGTCACACCACTGGGCTGGATTACAGTCTTGGTTCTCCTACGTTAATGTATATCCAAAAAGACTCATCTGCTGGACACCTGCACGGCTCTGCCCTGATCATCACCTGCCTGGACCTCTCTAACAATTTCCGAGCTGCCTCCTCCCATGGCCCCCAGTGCCAGTTCTCAGCACCGCAGACAGAGTGGCGGTCCTGTGAAAGGGGGTGCTCCGGTCATGTCATTCACTTTGGCTGACAGGCCCCCCAGTCCTACCATGACCTGGGCACGAGGCCCACTGACCTCATCTCCACTCACCTGCTCCACACACAGGGTCTCCCTGCTATCTGATGCGCCGGGCACACTCCTGTCCCAGGACCTTTGCACTTGCAGTTCCCTCTGCCTGCAATGTCCTTCCCCTCACCTTCCTCAGGACTCCCTTCCCAGAGAGGCCTACTCGGGCCATTCTATCTAACACCACACCTCCAACTTCCCCCCGCCTCCCGCTTTCCCATTTCTCTATATTGGACCCATGACTCCTGGCATCTTGTGCATTCTAATTCCTTGTTGGTTTCTTGCCTGCATACCACTGAGAGCCTGTCACCCCCAAAGGACAAGAATTCTTGTCTTTCTTGTGTAGAACCAGGTCATCTTCCATCATAGGGCATTCTGGCTCCTCTCACCTCAAAGAAAGACCATCCTTAAGTGGCCACTAAGGCAACCATGATGCACTTCAACTCCACTTCATCACCTGTAGACCTCTCCTCATCGGTCCCTGCTCACACTCCTCCCTCCCACACCACACGGCATTCATGATGCCACAGCCACCTGCTTTCCATGCCTTGATGGTGCCAATCCCCTGCCCGTGTGGGGGGCCTTCAAACTCCCTGTTCCTTCTTCCTAGAACACTCCCCCCAGGGTGTTCCCAGGGCCACCTCCTCTCACAACTCGGATGGCACCTTCTTCCCGCCACCACTCTGTCAGTAACCCACCAGCTCTCCCACTTGCCTCATTTCAGTGGCATCGCGGTAGCTATAGGAACTGCAATCCTCTTACTGCTTTGCAGGCTTTGTCGAACTTGCCCTTTTCTGGAACACGGCCCTGGGAGGGTAGCGCTGTGCTGTCCATTCTGCCCACCACCCAATCCAGCACTGGAGATCTCCATGCACATCTGGTTCCGGATGCTGGGTGCCAGTCGGACAGGGTCAGGCCGGGCTCAGGACTTCATCAGGTGCCCTGCCAGGCAAGTGGGTGGGAGACAGTAGCACCTGGAAAGGAAGTGTCTGCCATTGAGAACCAGGTAATGTGTGGGGTTTCTGGCAGGAAGGCTCTCTTTGGGGACAGCCCCTCTGACCCAGGACATCAAGGTATGCAGTGAGGACTCACCGGAACCCAGGCCAACCCAGGAGCCCCACACCCAAGCCTCCTGCTGCCCAGGACAAGACGAGCCACCATGACCATCCACACCAGGGGTGGGAACCTTTCTCCTGCCAACGGCTGTTTGGCTATTTCTTTTTCTTCTTCTTATTTTTTATTTTAATGTATCTTATTGATTTTTTACAGAGGAAGGCAGAGGGAGAGAGAGTTAGAAACATCGATGAGAGATAAACATTGATCAGCTGCCTCCTGCACACTCCCTACTGGGGATGTGCCTGCAACCAAGGTACATGCCCTTGACCAGAATCGAACCTGGGACCCTTGAGTCCGCAGGCTGACACTCTATCCACTGAGCCAAACCGGTTAGGGCTGTTTGGCTATTTCTCACATAATTCTCAGGTCGTACAAAATCACCAACTTAAATATCAGCCTGCTGTGTTTGGTCAAATACTTCATTAACTCACCCCTAATGCCATGGCAGGAGCAGATCAAATAGCATTCCCCACTCCTGGTCTAACCCCGAGTCCAGCACAGGCCCAGGGGAAGAGGCAGGGCCGCAGGGTATGGCCGCAGGCTGGTCCTGCCTTCCCATGGCTCTGGCCTCAGCTCCGGAAGCTCCTGGACAGCCGCCTGCCCTCTCCTCCCCTGGACATCCAGGCACGCCTGGTCTTCACCATAAAACCAGTATGCAAATCACTGAGATGTCACGTGCTTTCCTTATACTGTCTTCAAGATCCGTGTTTTTACAACTCAGCCCCAGAGCACGGCCTACAAAACAGTGTGTGCACCCTCCCTCCCAGGAGACGCCTCCGTGGAGGGAGAAGACCTAAGACCTCATAGTTCTATTTCACGTAACATCTAAGAGATTCATCTTTGCAAATACTTAACATGCGATTAGTACCTGCATCCTTGCATGGCGTGCTTATTATCAGGTCAATTCTCTTGTAAGGGTTGCACGTATTTTTTTAAAGTATGTTTTTACTGATTTTTAGAAAGGAAAAGGGATAGAAACATCGATGTCTGCCTTCTGCACGCCTCCTACTGGGGATGGAGCCCCAAACCCAGGCATGTGCCCTGACCAAGAATCAAACTGTGGCTCAACCACTGAGCCACGCCAGCTGGGACATATGCTGCCAGCAGGGTGTCATGAGAACTAAGCCCTCATGTACTTGCTGGTGTGCACCTGTTAGGACCCACTGCACGAGTGCCTGGTTTAGTGGGTGAACCTGATAGGGGCAGAAATAGAATATTGGGGACCAACTATAAGAAATGTGGGTCACGCTGTTAACTGTGATTTTGTTGATGAAGGCAGGCACATTCTCACCTGGCTGGGAGATGCAGCCCATCCTCCCCCTCAGGGAGCTGCCTATTATCCTGGAAAGATTAGCAGCCTTGTTGCAGGAACCAGAATCACTAGCCTTTTGAAGACCGGCAGCCCTTTGCTTATCACTAAGCCCTTTCAAGACTCCCAGCCCTTTGCATACCCACAGGCCTTTGCAAATCTCCAGCCCCCATTACCTGTCAACTTCCCCTTTGGCTACTTCCCCATGTAATCTCTGTCCTTCTACCCAGTATAAGCAGCGGGCTTATGGTGGGGGCAGAGCAGGTGGATGCCCTGCTGCTCTTCAGGCTGCCAGCAGGACTGGAATATACACTCATGTGATTCAATCCTGTCCCTGCTTAACTGGCTCAGGTAGTGACAGGCAGCCTAGTGCCCTTGATTGTCCGGTTACATAATCTGGCAACTCTGATGGGACACAAGGGGTGGGGGTGGGGCCTCTAGGGGATCCTGCTTGCTGCCTGGACTGGGGTCCCCGGGGCTGAGGCCTGGACTCTTATTTGCAGCGCTGCCGGGAATTTTCCTGTTTTGAGTCCCAGCGCAGCCTCAGCAATCCCCGTCGTCTCACTTAAAACCTAAGTCTTGCCCTAGTTGGTTTGGCTCAGTGGATGGAGTGTTGGCCTGGGGACTGGAGGGTCCCGGGTTCGATTCCGGTCAAGGGCACATGCCTGAGTTGCGGGCTGGATCCCCAGGGCGGGGCCTACAGGAGGTGGCCAAGCGATGACTCTCTCTCATCACTGATGTTTCTCTCTCTCCCTCTCCTTTCCTCTCTGAAATCAATAGGAAATACGTTAAACACACACACAAACAAAACCTAAGTTAAATAAAGCGTTCTGGTGTTCTGTAATGGGGGAAGCGCGTTGTCTGCTGTCCCCCCCATCTGGGGTGAGCCTGAGCAGCTCCCGATGGCAAGCGGCCTCTCACGGTCCTGGTCTCCGCACCCGAGCCTGACCCGCGGGGTGCAGGGCACTGGGGTCTGTCATGGGGTCGGCTGTCTAGGCTGAGCCTGACCAGCTCCCGGTGGCAAGCGGCCTCTCACGGTCCCCTGGCTGCTCACCTTGGCCGCCCGCTGCGGGCCCCTGTAAACGCTGTGCATCAGGGTGGTCTTCGCCTGGTGTCACTGCCTGTCGTCTTGCTTAAGCTGTTCACGGATGGGTGCTGGGCTCCTCACGCTTCCTGCCAGTGGGAAAGGAAACCTACACGCTCGGCCTCCCTCTGACTCCCAACTGCGGACGAGGGCAGCGGAGTGGAGCTCTGGCCGGTGGGCGCTTGTAAATCCCGTTGAGAGCATCTCTTGGCCGTCTGGTTTGATTTGTTTGTTAAAGACGGGGCAGCGCCTGGGCACCGCTGGCCACGGGGCGGGGCGGCAGGAAGCCATGCCTCTGTGTCACCTCCTCGG